CCCGGGCACCAATTCTGCAAGTGGGAGGGAGGGGTCGTCCCACCTACCCCCCACAGCCAGGCAAGACCCGCCAGGCCCACCGAGCAGGGCACCCAATGCCACAGAGGGCTGGAAAGAAGCAAATGAACCGTCATTATTTACCCACAAAATGACTATACGTAGCAAACCCTAAAGAGTACTTTAAAAGCCATTAGGGTTAGTAGCTGAATTTACCAGGATTTCTGGATACAAAGTCAACACCCAAAATTCAATTGCATTTCTGTGTACAAACCACACACAACTAGAAAGTGAATTAAAAAACCGGAATTCACAGTAGCACAACATAACAATAAATCTAAGGAGAATGTGCAAAATCTGTAGAGAAGGCTACAAGAACCTACAAAGTCATCCATGAACACAGAAACAGCCCTAACCAGTGTGGCTCAGTGGTTTAGTTGCCAGCCTGCCAACCAAAGGGTCACAGGTTCAATTCCCAGTCCGGGCACATGCCTGAGTTGCCGGCCCCCAGTAGGGGGTGGGAGAGAGGCAACCACACATTGATGTTTCTGTCCCTCTCCTTCTCCCTCCCTCCCCACCACCTAAAAATAAATAAAATCTTTTAAAAAACCAGAAACATTTCATATTTTGTAAGAGGATTCAATGTCATTAAAAATGAGCCCACTCGAGGATTTGTGGTCGGCGCCCCCATTGCTCCTCCACCTTTGTGGAGTCCAGGGACCAAGGACTTGGAGCTGACGGCAGCCGTGGGATGTCTCCTGAGGAGACGTGTGGAACTGGACCCTGCCACTGGGAGCCACTCTGGATTCCGAGTGTGTCCCGTGGTAAAAACTTAGGTGGCCCAGTGGCAGAGGTGACAGAGGAGCTCACTCTGGATTGATGTAAAAAATACCCTCTGTGTAGTTACAGCGGGCCCAGAGCTGGAGGCCTCAGAGGGATGAGCTCCCTGTCAGCAGAGGCATGTAAGCAGAGGCCAAATGTGCCGCTGGAGGGTGCCTGTCACAGGAGTGCCGCTGTATGACGGCTCCATGGGGCTCTGCCCGCAGGCTCGGGCTCGAGTCGGTCCTGGACCAGACGGGGTCGGCCTGCTCGTCCACGCTCGTCCAGTGGGAACGAGGGCCGAGAGCCTCGGAAGTTAGCGAGTCACCGCCTCTCGGTGAGCAGCTGCAGAGCCGGCTCTGGGTCGGGTGGGCTCGGTGTCCCGGGAGCGAGGGCGCCCCCCACCTCCACGTTCACACAAGATCTGCCTGCCTCCTGGTCTCAGTGCCCCCACCCCGTGTTGTGCTGGGAGGCCCTTATTCAGCCCCCAGCAAGTTCCAGAGGAGACAGGCCACGAAGCCCTGGACATCCCCACTTACCCAACCCCACCCCATCATTCTCTGTGGACACCGCACTCCACTGGCTGTGCGATAGCCGTGTCCCCCGGAGCCCCCCCCCCCCCCCCCCCCCCGCTGCCCCGCAGTCCTGCAGAACCAGCACAGCTGTGGCCCCTGGCAGGCCAGCCCAGAACAGCCCACAGGGTCCGAACTGAGATCCATGGGCTTTTCTGATGAGGACGGTGGCAGAGGAGGCCCGGCTTCCCCACACGTCCAAGGCCGAGGCTGCAGGCCCAGTGTTGTCCAAGGGGCGGTTGGACCCAAGGGGTCCTGAGACCCTCTGGAGGCTCTGGGAGCTGCTGAGTGGGCGGCGGGGGGTGGGGGTGGGGTTGGAAGGGGTCAGCAGGTGGTACCCCACAGAGAAAGGCCAGTTCTTCCCAAGGGGCTGAGGGCCCAGCAGCTGTGTCCCCGCCCAGGGCCAGCAAGGGCAGGGAGGCAGCTGCCTCTCCCCGGGAGGCTGAGCCTGTGGGCGGGTCAGCCAGTGGGGCGCCTGGCACCTGTCCCTGCTGCTGTGAGGCTGCCGTCCTTGAGTGCAGGGACCGTCCCCACAGGAAGAGTTTCCATTTCCACCAATAAATGGCTGATTCCGACTACAGGTCAAGGCAGGCCCGGCTCCCCAAACAGCCCCTCGGTTTCTCCCTGAGGCCTCTGCAGCCACAGCAGGTGCCGGCCTCGGCAGGGCCAGTGGTTCTCTGCCGCCCCAGGCAAGGTCCTGGAGGTGCCCCTCCCACCCCATGTGCTTGGTTTCTAGAAGGAGCTGAAGTGGCCCTGGGACACCTTGCCCCTACCTGGTGGCAGGTGGGCAGTGGTGGCCAAGAGAAGGCAAGCTTGGCCCTGGTTCCCTCGATCCCGCGTTCCCAGCGTCCGGGACTCGATGGGGCCGAGTCCCTGGTAAGAATCACTGCAGACCGACAAGGTGCCAGGTGAGGGCAGCTGCGTGTGCTGGACCAGGGCGCCCCCCACCGGCAGGCAACCCGGGGTCGGTCGGGACAGCCCGGGAGCTCCACAGTCCGCCTTTGCAGCACTAGCCTTTGGAGATGGGGGTAGGGGTGGGGTGCAGGGGCCGGGAGGTATGTGAGCCGAGCTGACCAGCAGGGGGAGCTCCTGCAACAGCTGCCGACAGAAGTCACACAATGGCCCACAGGTGGGTGGGCGGGCGGGTGGAGGGGGGCACCGCTCTGAGTCCCTCATTGCTGCAGCATCGAAAGTTACCCCGACGGACAGGGAGACCTTGTTTCCGGACCCGAGGGGTTCAGAGATGGGACATAGGGACGTCCCTGGTTTGCCATCCATATGCCCCCGTGGAAGCCCCTGAACAGAACCGGGCCCAGCAGCACCGGAGGGCCCAGCGCTGGTTTCTGGCAGGAGCTGCACAGCCACCACCGAACATGAGGCCCCGGAGGAGTCTGTCAGGTGCGAGGTCTCCTTGAGATGGAGCCCACCTGCAGCTGGCTGGGATAGAAGGTTCTGGAAGACCTCGATGGGCCTGGTTGGTGAACTGTTCAGGTCCCTGACGTCTTGCTGAGCAAAGGGGACACTTGGTAACAATGGCAGGAAATCAGGTTCCCACAGGGGCACTTGGGGCCAATCTGCAGGAAGCACCTGTTGGTGTCGTGAGACCCGCTGGCTGACGCCGCAGGATGCGCCGTGAAGGGGGCGGAGGCAGAGAACGCGCAGGGGAGGGCGGGGAGGCGGTTAGTGAACAAGTCCGGGGCAAGTGCCATTCCGCACCCGAGGACGGCGGCGCATCAGCCTGCAGACTCCGAACCCACGGCCCACCGAGGCCCACTCTGTGGGTGACGTCACCGAGTGTGTCCTTCAGACCCCGGTGTAGGGCGTGGGAGGTGAGCCATCACTTGTGGGCCCTGACCCTGGGGGTCCACAGAGCAAAGGAATTCTGGGGTATGGCCAACAAGCTTGCATCCCCAGGTAATCTCAGAGGACAGAGCTGCACAGCCTTGGGCCCCAAGGGGCTCAGACCTGGCTCCTTCTCTGCAGGCGGGTGGGGCCGGGCCCGGACTCCCAGCTCTGCACACAGAGAGCTCCCGGCTGCTTGGACGCCTACGTGTGCACTTTCTCACTGACGTTACCGTGTCTACTTAAAAAATCCTCATGACACAGGTTGTTTTACAGGCTCTGGGGGGCTCCATCATGTGAGCAAACAGCAAGCACTTAGGCTGAGGCCCTGCACCCTCTTGCATTCCGGTAGGATGTGTACGAAAGCGGATAGTGGGGCTGACTCTGCAGGGGCCCAGCGGCTTCTCCGGGCCGGGACTCCAGCCGCTGGCACCCACTCGGGACGTCCTGGGTCGGGCGAGGGCGTCTTATTGGAACTCGCCACCTAACGCTTTGGGCCGCCTGGGAAGAAAGGACGGTGTTGGCTGCTTCTCATCTGTGTGAAAACCTGCATCACCACCTACTGTCTTTTCAAGATCAAATCAGGGGACCTGGGGCCACCGTCTCCACAGCGGGCAAGGCTGCATGCAGGGGCCACCTCCAGGGCACGAAACCCTGCCACACGCTGTGGGGAGGTCCCGAGGCCCCAGGTGCTGTCATCTCTGGTTTACAACCAAACAAAGAGAGACGTTCCCTCTTAATGGGGGTGAACAGCCATCAGAGACCCGGGCCAGGTAAAGCACACTGCAAGGAGCCTCGTCCACAGCACCGAAGTTCACAGCGATGTCAGAACAGGAAAGAGTGCCTGACGAAGAGAAGGTCCCCATAGAAAAGCCACCCTGCGTGCTGACCGACACGGGATGGCCACCGCAGACGAGAAAGGGACACAGACACTCTGTCCTCAGCAGCTCGTCCTGGAACGGCCCCTCCTGGCAGAGCAGCTGGAGGAGAGATCAGTCTGAGGCTCAGAATCAGGTGGAAAACGGCCCTGTGACCTGGCAAGGACAGGACGGGAGGCCGCCGTGGGAAGGACGAGGGGGCGTGCGGCTCCGGGTGGGGCTTCCTTCCTCGGAGCCTCGGCCTTGGGACGAGGAAGCCAGGCCCCAAGGTGGCAGATAAGACGGGTTCTGCTCAGCAGACCCGCACCCCACCGGCGCCTCAGCCTTGGGAATAGTTGTCACTGCAAACACGCCATGCAAAGACCTCCCACACGAAGGCCTAACACTCATCAGCAGGAGGGACAAGGACACGGTCCATTCAGGGCCGTCAGTCACACTGATGCCGCAGAAACTCAGGATGGTGACCGGGGTGGGGACAGACACAGGCCTGAGGGACAGGCCAGGGTCAGAACAGCACTCCCCGCACCGGCTCTTCGCCTGCAGGTGGCCTGGTGCCGCCGGGCCACTATCCCTGGAATCACAGGCCAACCTGCTCACGCCTGCAACCCCTGACCCTGACAAGCTTGGTCCTGCTCATCTGTCTCCACGGACCCAGGGGATCCTGGCCGCAGCTGGGTAGTGAAATGCTAAAATCACCCAAAGATGTTAATATAAAACTCAGTTGTGCAGACCAGGGGACTTCCTGAAACTGTCAGAGAACACATTTTTTCTAAATACCCAACGCCTTGCAACACACTTAAAGCCTCGGAGGAACCGCCTCCTGTCTGCGCCATGCTGCGATCCCCAGGGCGCAGCCGGGAAGGCAGGTTCACGGGGAAGAACGACGCCAGTCTCCACGGGAAAGTGTGGCCCGTTTATTGGAACTGAAAGGCATCGTTACATAGTGCAAACGTTTCTTTGGTAACGCACTGATTACAAAGAGCACAGAACTGTCGGCAACAGTCAGGAAAGTAAATAACAGGTGCACTTGGCTTCCCATCACGGCGCCCTGCCCACGGTGCCCACGCCGCACGTGCGCTCACCCTCGACCCCCAGCCCCCCTGCCTGCGGCTGGGCCCCTCAGGGCACAGAGCACCATGGGCACCCGCCCGAGCCCCAAGACTCACCACGCGAGTGCTGCCCTGGCCTCGAGACCACTGGTAAGCCTCCCAAGCCCCCGACTCTGGCCAGCGTGTGGAACTGGGGCCTGCGGCCACCTCATAGCACTGTCCCACGTCCCAACCCAGGCCTCCACTTCCTGGTTCACAGGCACCAGTTCCGAGGTCAGATGACTCGGTTTGACTCCGTGCTGCAGACGAAGTCCCATACGTCCCGGGAAACGGCGCCGGCTCCGGCCTGCGACATGAGGCCAAGTCAGGCCGACCGAGTTTAAGTCCACTGCACCTGTGCCCGGGGGGAGTCAGCACTGCCCACCGCCTGCCGGACACGGAGTCCTGCACAGCGACACGCACCGTGAGCGTGCCCAGCCGTGTGCTGAGTGCCAGAGCCCCATGGGTCTCCTCGTGGGAAGGCAGGCGGGTCTCTGGTCCGTGTCCCCACAGTGCTGGGCACGCAGTGGGCGCCCCAGAAAGTGTCTGTGAGGCCGAACGCCCAAGCCCAGGGACAGACCGCTCGGCTCCCCAACGTCGCTCATCTCAGAGGGCTGTCCAAGCAGCGATTTGCCCAAAACCAAACTATACAGCTATCAGCACGGAAGGGCTCCTGGGTCGGGAACTGAAATTCTGTCCGATAACCGGGATTAATGTTCCCAGAACGGCTTGGCTGAGAATCAAATTGTTCGGGATGGAAGACGTCGGAGAACTGAGGTTTGACTTTTTACAGCGAAACAGGAGGTTTCTGGTCCAGTAGAGAGAGTGCGACCTGAGGTATGACAGCTGCTTCTCACTGAATTCCGGGAGACATTCTGCAGAGGGGAGGGCGATTTTCCGGCCCGAACTGACGCTGAAACCCCAGGCGAGCTTTCACGGAGCGTCCGGCACTGAGCGTGTGGATGAGGTAAAGGGACCTGCTTCTCTGAGGCACTCACGCAACCTGAGGTCAGAGGCCCCTACGCTCGCACTCCCGAACAAAAAACCACGGTGCGCGGGCCGGGCGCAGCCTGCGGTGAGAGCGGAGCGCCGCCACTGCGGGGGGAGGTCTCCTGTCTGGCTCCCAGCAGGGACAGAGAGCACCAGCCTACCTCTAAATGGGGCCTGATGACCTGAGTCCCGTGTGAAGGGGGCAGAGAAGCCACAGGGGTGTGCACATGCCGGGGAATCTGCTCTGAGTGACCAGAGGGCAGGCATCAGGGTTACCGGGGCGCCAGAGCCCGTGCCACCCAGACATGCTTGTGAGAGACTGTCCACTGGCCAAAGACGGAGCCTCTCGGCCAACACGGAGCACCTCCCATCCGCAAGCTCCGGGTCAGGACCCGGTGGGGCGGCTGTCGTCGAGAGGCCTGGTGGCATCAGGGAATATTTGCAGGGGCTTAAATGACTTAACTGTGCAATTTAATAGTAGCACCGACTTTTCATTAAAAAAATTAAATAAAAACCTGAGAATCTAACGTGAAGTCAGGACTCGTGTCTGCTCCCGCCGCGCGGTCTCTGCTCTGAGCTCCCCACGCTGTGTCTGAAGCCCCCCGAGTCCTCGGTGCACTCCTGCCTGCACACCCTGCACTGGCCGGTGAGGTCAGGGCACACACAGAGGAGCTCCCCGAAGCACCAGGGGTCTAAGGCCGAGTTCCCAGGGAGTCCTTCGGGCAGGACGGACAACAAGCTCCGTCCACTCTCACGGGCGCAGGGCAGTCGGCGGGCTGGCAGGCTTCCACGAAGCAGGTGACCTGCCCATGCTGGGGGGAAACGCGGCGGACCGGTTAGCTCCTGGCCCCACCCCCCATGCATCACGCCCACTTCCCGCTCGGGTCCGACTGCCCAGGTCTGACCCCTTTGCTCCCACCCCGTCCCCCTCAGTGCTCAGCTCTGAGCTTCCCAACCAGCTGTCTGCAGCCAGACCCCCGTCCACTGTCCCAGGGACCCAGAGCTGCCCGGTGGGCACACCAGGCAGTCAGCCTTTGACAGCGGCCGGGGAAGAGCCCACACCTCCCAGGGAAGAGGGAGGAGGCCCCGCTGCCGAGCGGGGCCTGGCTGACCACTGGGCCGCACGGCCGTGTGGGGCCCAGACACGGGGCGCACTCACTCGGCATTCGCAGAGGGTGCAGGCGTCTCGTCTCCACCCGGCGCCGTCCTCGTGGGGCTCGCCGTCCGCATCGGTACACGCGGCTGTGCTGAGCCGAGACTCAAGTTTCTTTATCTGCGAAGCCAACACGCGTGCGGTCAGTCCAGGTGGCCTGTGGCCCCAGCGGTCCCCAGCCCGCCACAGGGACAGCGCCTCGCAGTGAGCAGTGAGCGGATGGATGTCTCTGAAGGCTGTCAGGAGCTCAGACTGGCTCCTCTGGCGGCTGAGGAGAATCTGTCCCCGAGTGTCTGTCCCCGAGCTCCGTGGCAGCACTGCTTGCCCCGTCTCGGGTTGGCAGTGCCCACACCGACGTAAGGGGAGCAGTCACTGAAACGCGGGGGAAAAGCTCAGAAATAAATGAAAGCGATGCCCTCCCAGGACCAGGAGCCCTGTGAACGACGGGCATCTGGCCCTGGTTTTTCAAAGAACTCGGGTCATGAGCAGCCGCCAGCCCATGGCAGGCCTCCCCCAGGGGAGCCCCCTCCCTAGGACGACAGTGGGGCAGTGGTGGCGGATCTGGGTCTCTGCACACAGGGCGTCTGGCAGCCCAACTGCCTCGCTCCAGCCTCTAGAGAAGAAGGTGACCAACCCCCTGGAAGCGCCATCGCCTGGGTTTTCTGTCACAGGCAACCGAACCTTAGCTGACGACAGAGGAGGCCCCGACGCCTCGGTACTGTGACGCCCCATGAAACCAGGATACCTGGACACAGGATGGTAATGGCCACAACAGCCACACACTCAGACCTCTGTGTGCACACTGACCTCAGGCCACCAGCAACAGGTCTCTGACCTCCCAGGTGTGCACACACTGTCCCTGCCCACGATGACCCCATGTCACCTGTGTCACCACCAAGGGGGCAACCACTCTCAGATGTGCTGGACCATAGCCAGCTCTGTGCCTGAGTCACCGACGCCAAAGCCACCAGACCTCAGCCACAGGCCGCACATCGGGAGGGAGAAAAGGGACGGGGGGGGGGGGAGGGTGCCCCTGACTGAGGCCCCCTGCGGTGAGGAGCCAGAAGAAGCCGCAGAACTCAGAGCCGCTGGCCTCAAAGATGTCAGGAGGACCCGAACGGGGCGAGGCGACGGAGCTGTGCCTGCGGCCTGCCAACCCCGCCCTGAGCAGCCACCAAGGCCCCTGCTCTGAGCCCCGGGCTCCCTGGGCCCCCGGCGCCGCATCAGCCTGGGCTGTCTCTGGCTCAGGCGATAGGGCCCCTTCCTGGTAATGAACCCGGTGGGGCCCGCAAAAGCAGAAATTAGTTCCCTAAGCCATGGGAGGGGAGACCATTCTTTTTTAGCCAAACCTTCATGACCCTCAAGGGGAGCCTGGGAAACCCCTGGGGCCCTGGCACTCGGATCCAGACACAGCACCAGCCGGGCTGGACCTCAGAGCAGCTCTGGACCCTCCTGGGGGCCGGGCTGCACCCGTCGTTCCTGGAGAACTGGCTGCAGAGCCGGCCTGAGGCCTGGGTCTCCTTCACAGCCCCACCCCCGAGCCCACTGATCACACCTGTGATCTGAGCAGCTGCTGGACAGGGACAGTGACACCCCCCCCCACGGCCTTCCCCCACAGTCTCACACCACGGTAGGTGGCCATGGGTCTCGACTGTCAGGACACCAAGTGACTCAGTGTGGCTCAGACCCCAACAAGCCAGGAGAAGAGCAAGCAGACAGGTGACGTCCCCCAGACTACAGGGAAGGGATGTTGGCAGAAGTCACAACTGTGTGGTCACACAGAGGTGAGTCTGTCCTTACGTGTGGAGAATGCAGGGCTGGGCCAGGGCTGGGGTGCAGGTACCTGTTCCCTGAGGTCGCTGATGGTCTTCTGCATCTCCAGGACGAAGTCCCTGAAGTCGTTTGTCCCCAGCCCCTGTGGGTGCTCAGAGGAGGTGGGGGTGGCGTTCCTGGGACGCTCGCCGTGTTCCTCGATGCTGTAGGAGAGACGGGAGGAAGCAGCGCAACCTCGGTGGGTGTCACACCACACACACACCTGCTCGCACTGTAGGCCTCCAGCACCTGCGTCAGCCAGGAGCTGGGACCACAAGGTGGCTGTGGCAATACCCCCGCCTGGGGCCCAGGACCTGTCCTGAGGTGGGGACAGTCCAATCCCCAGGGCAGCCATACCTCAGCGTCTTCCCAGGCCCGGCCTCTGTGGTGGGCTCGTCCTCCCGGTAGCTGAATTCCAGGGACCGCCGGCCTCGGAAATGATATGAGAACGCGTGGAACTGGCCCCTGGTCCTGCAGTCTGAGCAGAGAGGGGTGTCACTCCTGCTGGCTTCCTACCTCCATACACAGAGCCCCAGCCCTGGGGTGCTCAGGGCTGGGGTGCTGCTGCCCCAGTGCTGGGGCCCCTCTGTGCACGGTGCACCTGACAGTGCCCGAGACCAACCAACAGTCCCATCCACGCTGTGCCCACCTCAGCCACCCAGGTCACAGCCCAGCACGGGCTGCGATGGGCCCTTTCCAAGTTCTTACGTCTCCAGGGCCTAGGAGGAGGGTGTGGGGTCAACCGCACAGGACGGTGAAGCTGTGCTCACCTCTGGGGAGGGGCTGTCGCCACCCCCCCATGAGACCCACAGGCACTTCCTCCACGTCCCGTTCAGCAGCTGACCCACAGCTGCCCACTGTCAGGCTCAGTTGAGTCACAGGACGCTGGGTCGCCCAGGACAGACACCGGCCCTGAGTCCATCACCAGCTGGAAGTCCTAGTCCCACTCACCCGTGGGGACAGCAGGCCCCGGCTGAAGGCCTAGTGGCCCAGGGGGCTCACAGGCATTTTCCGAACCAAGCAGATGACACGTTCACCCCAGGAATCCTAGCCAGCACCACCCAGGGCACAACGGGCCTCCCGGAGGTGGCCGGGCAACCACCCTGCTGGTTGCGGGGCGCCAGGGTCCCGGGCAGGGCTCCACCTGGGCCAAGGGAGGCGCCACAGACAGCTCACCCAGAAGACAGACGGGGACTCTGCCATGACAGGGGTGATAACTGGGGGTGGATGGAGCCTGTGACCCAGAGACAGGCTTTACCTACTTTGTCTACTGGGGGCTCCCGAGTTCAGCTCTGAACAACTTGGGTAATTTATGGGCAGTGGCATGGTGTCTGCGGCTCCCTCCACTGCTTCATAAAGAAACGTAACGTTTACACACGGACACAGACACAGACACAGACACAGGCATCCACACACAAAGAGCACAGAGGGAAATGGCTCGTGGAGAAAAGCGCTGACATCTGATGGGTCTGCGTGAAGCACAGAAATCCTTTGTGATGTTTTAATAATTACTGCAATTGTTTAAAAATAATGTGCCTGTGTGGATCTGCGCTTGTATGTGTATGTGTACATGCGTGTGCGTGCATAGGTTAGTTCCTATGGCCCGTTGATCCTGAGAAGTTGCAATTCCAACTCTGGCAGAGAGAGGGAGCCCGTAGGCGCCCAGAGCCCTCAGGTCGCTGCAAGGGCGGGGCCATACGTACGTGGGGGGGCGCGTACGTGTGCTGAGTGCGGACGTGTGCGTAAGAGCGGCGAGCGGAAGGGTTGCTGCCGCACCGGCCTTCACGGAAAGTGGAAGTGAAGGTGAGGAGCGGCCGATGGTCAGTCCCACCGAAGCTCACTTATCTCTGCTGCCGCATTTCCCACGCGGCTCTGCAGCAAAGCCCAGAAGGCGTCTTAGGCGTCGTCAGCCGTCCCCTGGTCCAGCGGGCGGCGGGAACGCTCCCGGCTGTCTCGAGGACTGGTCTCGAGGACTTGGGGACTTCTGAGGAAGCACAGAGGCCTGGCTCGGCCCCTTTCGGCGGCCAGCAGGCACCGGCAGTCACCGGAGCAGGAGGGTTTATCCGAGGGGGGCTGGCCGCCCCGAGCGCTCTTCCGGGAGAATGGCGTGCGCATCTGTGCACGCACACCAAATGCCCGGCCACTCCCGGGGGCGGGGGACGACGCGTCTGCGCCCTGTGACCCGGTGGGGGTCTCCCACGCCGCTCACCCTGAACAGAAACAACATAAGGCCCGGCAGGCGCATGGCTGGGGCAGAAACGCTCCCGGGAGTGGGTGTGCGGGGAGCCCGGTCGCCACTGCCGCCGCACAGGTCTGCGCACACAGGGCGGGGCGGGCCAGAACGTATTTGCGACACACAGTGCGACGGCTCCTCAGTCGTAACGCAGGAGTGAGCTCCGTGCCTTGTGGGCTCACGGCTGAGAACGGCTTGTTCCGGTGCCGCGACTGATGGTCACCGTGTTACCTACTGTCGTGTTGACCCTGCACACACACGCACAGAGAACGGGACGGAGGCAGACAGTCCCATCACGCCCACTCGCACACACAGACATTAGCACGGCTGACGACCACTCACGCAGACGGCCACACGCATGAGGAGAGGGCAGGCAGGTAACACTAATGACCAGCGAGGCGGTTTCTTCGGAGCGAGAAGGAGGGGCCGGCCGGAGCCTCCTTCTGCATTTCCCGCCTCCCTGCGCTCGGTGTCTCTGCGCTGCATCCAGACGCAGAGGGCGCGCGACCCACCCTTGGCCGCGCCCTGGGGCCGGGCCCTACTGGCCACCCCTCTTGCGCCCTGCTGCCCCCACCGCAGGAGAGCAGGGGGGCATGGGCAGCTGCTGAAGGTCCCCGGGTTTGACCTACACAGGTCTCTCTCTGGTGATACGTAATCAAAGCCACAGCCACGCTAGAGGGGGAAAGGAAATAAACACCGCGGCTCCCAGGGATGTTGGAGCGAACGCAGAAGCCACACTGCGAGGGCGGAGGTGCCAGGGGTGGCAGGGACACCACAACCGGGGTTGCCCTGACAACAGCAGCCAGCCCCTCCCCACCCCCACGGGGCCTGCACCTTCCGAAACAGCCCCCGCCGCGTTCCTGCAGGGCTTCCCCATCCCTTCAGAAAACAACACCCCTTTCTGCCTGGGGAGGTCACTAGAGACATTTGGGGCACGCAGGCTCCTCTCTAGTCTGAACTTGCGGCCGCCGGGCTTCCCTGCCGTCCCGCTTCCATCTCCCACCTGTGAGGGCGGGGCCCTGGCCTCGCACAGGGACTCGGACTGGGTTTCAAAGAAAAGCCGGGAGCGCAGCTTCTCAGAGACTCGTGTTCTGTGTACTCGCTGCGATTTCAGCCACCGTCCTACACACTCCTGCCCCTGAAAATCCTACGTGGAGACTGTTTTCTGGGTCCCACAGGGTCCCAGCCTGGACCCAGCCCGTGGAATGAGGCCCGGCAGCTGCGTGTTATGTCTGCTGCCACCACCCTGCCGACCCGTCCCATCTGTCAGCTCGCGCTTGGGTCTCTGTCCCTGGCAGTGAGCGAGGCTCGCAGCCCACAGTGGGGACCAGAGGTCTTGGGGGAAGGGCACCTTCGCAGCAGTCCTGCCACACCCGCAGGTCCACCCTGGGGATGTCCTCGCAGCTGCCGTAGCCGTGGGGGAGCTCCGCCACCCGGAACACGTCCCTTTGCACGCGAGTGATGTTGTCCGCATTGTCGCACAGCACCCTGGCCAGGGATGTCTGCTTGATCTGCGTCAGCTGGGCCGGCGAGAACACCCCGGGGTTTTCGTACCAGAGCCTGTGTTCCGGGAAAGGGGGAGTCAGGGAGAACCCTGAGGCTCCCAGCCGCGGGGGTTGGGTTAAACAATCCCACTCGGGGTCCCACAAAGGCAGACAGATGTCACTGGTGTCAGTCAACCAGGGGCCACTTGAAAGTGGACAAAGTGGGGCTCACTTGTCCCACCCAAACAAGAATGGAACATTCCTGAGCAAAGACATGGAGGGCTGCACAGCCACATCACCATGCCGGGTGGACACCTCCCACCTGCTGGAACTGAGATGACCATACCACCAGCCAGAACCTCTCCCCTGTGGGATGTGCCACCTGCTCCAAACACCCAGCCTCCTGGGCCGGGAGGACTGCCTGCTTCTGGAAGCAGTGACACTCTAACAGCCCAGAGTGCGTGGCAGTGCCTGTGAACCAGGTTCCAGTCAGTTCTGCACCGTGGTGACAGGCAAGCCCAGCCATCGGAGTGAGCACAAGATGTGGTGCTGACTCTTCTTCTTGGTCCTGAGCACAGACACAGGGCCACCCCCCCCCCCCCCACCCCCAGCTGTCCCACGTCCCCAGAAAGGCGACTGAGGAGCGGGCCAGCTCACCTGTCCCCATCACGAAGGCGCTTGAACTGGGTGCTCAGCAGGCACAGCAGCGTGGGGCCCAGGCGGCTGCCCGGCACCAGGTCCTCCACCATGAGGGCCGGGAACAGGTCGATGTTGAGGGGGGACCCGTACAGCCTGCAAGACAGCAAACCCTCACCCACCGAGTGACCACAATCCCCCGGACAGGCGCACAGTGGGTACCGGCCGAGTGGTCCCACGTGACTCAGACCTTTACTTGCACAGTTATCTTTATCTCTTTAGAATTCCTGCCATTGTGTTGTGAGTGATTCACCTACTTTCTGTTTATGTACAGGGTGGGGCCGAAATAGGTCTGCTATTGTTTGTATGGAAACTAATACATAAGTTAACAAACAACAGTGCATAAAAAAACCTGTTTACTTTTGCCCCACCCTGTATATGAGTATATGAAACACACACACGTTGTTACTAGTTGGGAAAAGCCACAGGCCACAAGGAAGAAATCAGAAACCACGCCTCTCGCTACTGCTCAGACTCGTGCTTGTAAACCCTCCCTGTCCCCTCCTCACAGACGGTATGAACGTGCGCCATGCAGGGCTGGAGACACATTTAAAAAAACTGGGATTCTGCTGTATTTTTGAAATGTATTTGTCATAAAACATTTACTAAGCAGAGACCACATAAGAAATGAAGAGAGCGAGGCATAAACGTTTTAAAAAATGTTTTCACTGACCCCTCCTCTTCCTCAGAACGACATGCTTCCAAAGGGCAGAGCTGACAACTCATGGTAGACGGTTCTCACCTGGCCTCTCCTAACCCCTAACACCTCAGTCGCCACGCAGAGCCCCACCCTGTGACGGTGGCCAGCAACAAGGCTGTCCCAGCTTGGTCCTCAGGTGTCACCCAGCACATGGCTCGGGGCCACGCTGCTGCCACCAGCCTTCAGTCCTTCAAAGACTGACAAATTACGATCCTTTTCTCTAAGTTCAAGGACACCCAGGTGGGAATATGGAGATAGATAGAGTGAGTAAGAGTCTTCAAGTCGTCTGTGCCCCCCCCAAGTGGGCCTGTTGGAATCGCCCTGGGCTTCTCCCAAAGGAAATTCCTGGGTGGGGTCCCCCCTCTTCCTGCTCCCCCAACCCGGTGAGCCACCAGCATGGGCTCACTAGACCATGCTGACCTGGGGACACCAGACTCGAAACGAGCTTCTCCTCCGGATGGGACAGGGCCCTTCCCCCACCCTGCCAGCTCAGGGCACTGGCCACGGACAGCACCCAGCCGGCCAGTGCACAGGGCACAGGGCTCCTCAACCGCCAGCAGTGCCAGGCCAGAGCGTGGTGCCTCCAACTGTTCTGAAATAAGTTCATCAAGTAAGGGAAATGACAGGGGTGTGATTTGCATCAGTCTGGACCCCCGAAAAGAAACACATAAGTAAGAGACAGTTCAGATAAATCCTAATCAAGCAAAACTGTGACCAAAGAGGTCCACTGTGCCAGTGTAATACATATGACAAAGGTCAGAACCTGATGACGCTTAAACACTGGAATACGTGCCACTTGGGGCATAACCTGCATTTTTCACAACTTGCAACAAGTTGAGTGAAAAGTCCTTTTCCTTGGGAACACACAGGAAATCCCTAAGGGGACCGTGTCTTCACGTTAGTGTCAAGTGAGTACCGTGAGAATAAGGAACCCACTCCTGGGTGAGCTGCAGAGCCCAGAAAACGTGCAAAGTGAGTCTGTAGGAGAAAGTTTTCTTTCTTTTCAGACATCTCCCTGCACCTGCATGGCCCCCAGAGGTGCCGGCAGGGCCCTGCTCAGCCGCACCCTCAGCATCTCTGACCCTGGCTGCGCAGACCTACCCCAAAAGCGGCCACTGCAGCACCCATGCGCCGGCATGACATGTACGAAGGAGACGTGTAAAACCCGGCTGGCTCCAACTCACCGTCTGAGCTTCTCCCGGATCTCAGGGTTTTTTATCTCATTTTTCAGATCCTCGAAGGTGTGGGCGGACGACAGGTTGCAGTAGACACGGTAGTCGTGGTAGGGCGGTATGCCGTGGTCGCGCCCGCGCTGGATGTTGATGGCCGCCAGGTCCAGGGCCACCGTGTGTGCCATGGAGAAGAGGCGCTCGGTGAGCTCGGTGTTGAGCAGCTGCGAGGGCATGCGCATCTTGCCGGGCACTCCAAACAGGCCCCGGAGCAGTGGGTCAATGCCGCCCTCATTCACGATGCGGAACGGGGAGAAGAAGGCTTTGTGCAGCGGCACGTGGCCCTGTGCAACGGGCTGGAAGTTCTCGTCCAGCCGGTGCAGCACCGGGTTGATCAGCGTGTGGCCGAAGCGGAAGGCGGCAGTGGCGAAAGCGTTGAAGATGCCCGCGTTGACTCCTGGGTCGTAGCCGTGGTACTCGCCCAGCATCTTCATGCCCACCTCACCCAGCACCTTGGGGAGCCAGTGTTGGTAGGTGATGTGCTGCATCTGCGCGCCCACGATCTTCCGGGCCTCGTGGTACAGGGTGTCACCGTCCCAGTGCGGGTTCAGTGCCAGCAGCTCGGCCGCCACTCGGTTGTGCTCACGGAACCACAGCGTGTGCATACTGGTGAGGCCCAGCTGCTCGTTGGCGCGGTGGTCGCCAGCCAGGAAGCACGGGATGGGGCTCTCGCTCTCGTCCCGCATGCACTCGGTGGGCGGCCCGCTGGCGAAGGGCAGCAGTGGCTTCCCGGAGCGCTGAGCAATACCCTGTCGCAGCAGACCGCGCTGGCTGGCCAGGTCGCGCACTGCTCGCGCCTCATGCTCTGAGCTCCCGTACACGTTGGAGGCGTCGATGTAGGAGGTGAGCTGGTTGATCTGCTCCCGCGGGTACACGGAATTCATGAGCAGGGAGGTCATGCCGCTGCCGCACACCGGGCTGGAGCGCACGAAGAACATGCATCGCGCGCCATTCCTGACGCGTGGGTCTTTGGGCGGGATGGCGAGCGAGAAGCAGGGGGGGTCGTTGCTGCACACCGAGCTGCAGTGCTGCCCATCAGAGAAGCGGGCCTGGCTCAGGGCCACCACCGTGGAGTCCAGGTCGTGGTCCAGGAACTGCCCCCACTGCATGAGCATGTGGGTGAACTTCGCATCGGGCGTGATGGCCTCCGTCCCGATCAGGGTGGTGGACACCAGGCGCGGCATGGGGAGCGCGTGCCCGTGGTACAGCCGGCTCGGGTTCACGCCCCGAGGGGTGTTGAAGCCGTTCTCATACACGGCCTTCAGCAGGCGCTCGAAGGCGGTCAGTGAGGCGCCCCACATGGGGTGCTGCAGGTTGTTGCAGGTGCCGTCGTGCGTGCGGTACTTCTGGTGGAAGCACATGTCGGAGCAGTTGTTCACGCGCCGGTGCGCCGTGCAGCCCGACAGGTTGGCAATGAGGCTCAGGTACTGCGGAGACACCAGGTCGTTGTAGTGGTAACCTGCAGGGAAGGACAGGGACGAGCTGATGTCCGAAACCGGCCCGGCAGCGTCTCACTGAGGCCTCCCGGCCTCCCTCACCCAGCATGCTCCGGGCCCGCAGGGCTCCACCACCGTGCACGCTCACAGAAGCGCGCGCTCGCGCACGCACGCAGGGGCGGGATTCAAATCCATAGAAGGGATCCGCCCCCGCGCGTGCTCGCAGGGGCGCATGCGCCACTCCACTCAGTGGGCCATCCCTTCCGGTTCTCCGTTGTCGGTGCATCCGCTTTCTAAAGCGTGTTACTCAGATACACACCTACTCTGCGTACTTTTGACCCACAGAAACACCCTTTTTTAGGGTTGGTGTCTGAAATACCCGCGTGGACTTGGTAGACAGCTGGGGGTGAAGAAATCCCACAGGTGTAGATAAGAGATCGGAAACGCGCACTGTGCCCGGGACGTGCCCAGGCTCCCGGCCACCCAGAGAGTCCTGTTCATCACCGTCCCGAAAGCTCGGGCGGGCGGTGCGCGCTTCCCAGGATGCAACAGGGAAACTGCGAAGTCTGCCTCTGTTCACGGTTACTGTCTGTCGTCCCGAAATTCTCGGTCTTGAACGTCAAAGAAAACCGCTTCCACCCGCAAGTCCTCTGGGCCCGGGGCTTTCTCCCGCCCTGTCCCTTTGTCTGCAGCAGTGGCCGCGGTTCCTGGCCACCTCCCCAGGCCGCGCCCTGTCCCCCCCGTCCCCCGCTGGGACCAGGCGGAGCCCAGACAGAGCACAAGCAGAAGCCAGCCTCCAGGGTTGCAGAGACACAACAGCCTCCGCAACCGTCACGGACCGGAGGTGGGGGTGACAGGACCCACACTGCCACCCCAACTGTGTCCTTCCAGCCCGCGCAGGGAGGGGGCGGCGCGGGGCACTGACCCGTGCCGTTGAGGTCCACCATGAGGCCGTGTCGCACGTGCTCCTGGATCAGCTGTAGCGTCCGCTCGAATATCTCGCCAGCGCGCGCCTGCTCCACGGTGTAGGGGTCCCTCGGGTATCGGAACAGGGCCAGCAGGTCGTTGGGGGTGCGAGGTCGGCTAATGATAGCCAGCCAGGGCAGAGGGAAGAAGGGAGCCATCACCGAGACGGAAATCCCAGCCTCCCAACACAGACCCGCCATTGAATGGCGGACACTACTGCTCTAGGGCGTGGCCGTACCTTGCTCATCCCGGGTGGAAGGCAAGAAAAACAAAAGCAAGAGAACACTAAAGACAAAGTTAGTCAGGTCCATGGCGAAAACAGGGGCACTGCACTTCAAGTCAGACACAGGGAAAACACCACGGGCTGGCCAAGACGAACACACACTCCAGTGGCTTGTGAGACATTTTGTTTTTGCCAAGTCATTTAGCAACAAAGCAAAAGAACGAGCTGCAGTTTTTGAGAAGTGTCTCATTTGTGAGTCATAGGTCAGTCTCTGCTTGGAGAGGAGAGACTGTTACTTTAACAGTCTGGTAAAGTATGCCTGTTACTTTAACCCCCACTGGGCACCAGCCTGGCTGGCGATTTTTAAACTGAACCTTTTCTTCAGAGGAGGGAGCAGGTCACAGCCGTACCCGAAGGGCCCACACTCTGGACCCCCAGGGCCACGCTGGGGGTGGGCCAGCCCTGCCTGCCCGAAGTACCTGTCAAACAAGTGCGTCCGAGTAGAGTTTATGGCCCGGTCGACAGTCGCAATGGCTTCCACGATGGATGTGGCCACAAACGGGTCCCCATTCCGACTGACGTCAGGAACTAGGAGACACAGAGCCACACGCTAGCAGGAGGGGCTGGATAGCCTCTCGTCATGTCGGGAGGCACTTCCCCCACCAAGTGCACTTCTGTCTCCCCCACAGGGCTTGTCCCTAGCTGACAGACAACCAGACACTGTTGTCAAATGTAAGGACAGCATGACTTTTCCTTTGTGCAGGCAGGTGGCATGCCCCAGAGGACAGGGAAAAACAGCTGTGACCTCCAGCAGTGATGGCACAGGGACAATGTGGCCACTCAGGCCTCCTGCCGGGCACGGTGGTTGGTGAGAAGGTCCGGATCCCCGTGGCTCTGTCTATTCTCATGCAGCCGGGACCTCAGCCTGCTCAGCCCTTCCGCCTGGGTTCCCCACTGTCCCCCCGCATGTCACGATGCAGATGCCGTTACGATCACATGCACGTGTGCTCACACACATCACACATGGCATAGGACCCCGGGGCGGGTTGCTTCCCTTTTCATTTAATAGTCCAGGACCCAGAGTTCCTTACGCACCATGACCTCGTTCCCACCTATCATTCATCTTTTGAAACAGCCGTGCCAGGTCACAGTGCATCCGTGGAGGTTAATGGTAAAGACACTGGGACCTGGCACACGCCGGGGATGCGTGTGGCCCCACCCAGCATGGAGAGCGGGCAGAGGAGGGGCCTCTGGTGAAGCGGTTACAGATCCCCACTTTACTAAATGGTGACGGTAAGTGGCATGTAGTCAGATCTGAGGGGGTTTGGATGGTGGCTGAACACAGGGAAACTCCCCTGGGCAGGTTGGCACGCTGGCCTGCAGGGCCCCTGTGCCGCAGGAGGGACTCCTGGGTCCACCTGGTCCTGCTGCTGGCTGAGCGTGCCCCAGTGGTCCCCCTGCAAACCAGGGGAGTGGATGTACCATCTTCTAATGACCCCAGTGATCAGGGCTTGCACTGAGCCCGTGCAGGCGGGACCCCTGCCCCCCCCCCCCCCCCCCGTGCCTTGGCCCGGCCCCCTTACCGCTCACACTGAGCACCATGCTGACCGAGGCCTGCCCGATGGTGTTCCGGGCCACACACTCATAGCGGCCGGCATCGGCGGTCCCCACATCGTGAATGGTCAGGAATCCCTCGGGGCTAATGTGGAATTTCCCACTTTCTGTCACCTGCACCCCATCCTGGAGCAAAACAGAGGGGGGATCACAGCAGGAATGAAGGAGACTGAGCAGCAGAGCATGTGTTCTGGGGGCTGGGTCCCCGTTTGTCAGGAATCACGGGTGGGAACGCTGAGGGGGCCGAGCTCCCGTTCGCCCAGAACCACGAAGAGGAGCTGTGGTCCAGTCCACCCGGCACGGAATCCACGGGGCGGCCTTCCTTGCGTGCCTGCCGCAGGTCCAGGCCGGAGCCAGGCAGAAGCCACACTCCTGGGGTTGTCCGGGGTCGGGGGTAGGGACCGAGGGCCACCCCGGGGAGGAGGCCCCCAGTGAAAAGGCACAGGACGTGGCCCTGATGAGGGAGGAGGCCCCGGGCAGCAGAGAGGATGCCTGAGTCTCACTGGGAAGGGCGCAGCCTCCGGGCCGAGGAGAGGAAGCTGCAGGGGCAGAGTATCTCCGTCCCAGGCCAGTCACCCGTCCTCGGAGACGCCTCGTGTCAAGGCGCTGGGCTGTGGGTTTGGACTCCGCTTCCTGTTTTTTTGCTGGGGCTTCATAAAGGCAACAGTAAAACAAAACAACAGAAGCCCTGCTCTACTCACTACAAGACCAGGGGTCTGACAGGAAGGTGTTTTCTTACTGTCACCGTGAGGACGTGACAAGGACTCTGTTCCGTGTCTGTCGGTCTCGTGGTGTTTCCACACCGAGGCCACCAGCACGGGCTTCAGCTCTGGCTCTCAGCCTGGTGTCCCACTGCCGTGGGAGGTCTGGGAAGGCGGTAGTGACACCTGCGTCCCACCGCGCCCCCCGCGCGACCGCACGTCTCCCGCCGCAGTGGGCACCTTGTTCCAGGTGATGGCTGGCTCTGGCTCCCCCTGGGAGCTGCAGGGCAGCTGCACGCTGGTGCCCACCTCCACCGTCTGGTCGCTGGGGACGCTGCTGAACACCGGCGTGACTGGAAGGCAAGGGACACGCCGCTGACAGTCACGGGGGCCCCGGACCCCTGCCTTCATCACAGCAGGCCCGGGGCACTGAGCCTCTTGGCCGGGCGGCCTGTCTCCCTGCAGCAGCGTCTGCACAGAGGGAAGCTGTCGGAAGGGACTACACCGGCCTCGCCCCCAGGCCGGCCTCGACCCTGAAGGAGCCCTGCCCGCCGAGCTGGGAGCCGAAGGGCCAGCGCCCCCAGGACGCGAGACCTTGCTGACTGGGAAGCAGCTGTGGCCGAGAGGGAGCCTTTCTCAAGGGGCCTAATGGCCTTTCAGGGACCCTCCCACTAGCTCTCACCCAGCGGGCTGTCCGGAGGCAGCCACGCCCTCAGGGGAGACCCGGACCCACCCCAGGTTCTGCACCTGCCGGCCGGCTCAGCGTCTGCCCTGAGTCCTTTTAGAGACACAGGTGACCAGCCCTTCGGAGCAGAGGACAGGGGGACCTCGGAATGCTTGGGGCACAACCGGGAAACAGAGCCAGGCTGCGGGCCACGACCTGGGGCCACTGGGCCCAGGGCTGCTCCCGTGACCCAGGAAAGGCGGCTCCCAGACCACCCTCCTTAAAACGATCACGTCAGCCCGTGACGCGTCAGCCCGTCAGCCTCCAGGACTCGCATCGATAAAATGAACGTCACCGTAGACCAACATGCACTAGCGAGTCATGACGTCGTTGCCTTGGGAACGAGGACAGGGACAGCTATTCGAGATGCTGGGTCGGCTCTCGGTCACTGGCAGCGACACAAGTGTGGGTGCAGGAGCTCCCTGGCACACAGCCCCCCCGCCCCGCCCCCGCCTACCTCGGGGCTGGACCGTCAGGTGCGCCACGACCCTCTGGGAGCCGATGATGTTGACGGCCTGGCACTCGTACTGGCCCTGGTCGTGGAGGGCGACACTGGCGATCCTGAGCGTGCCCGAGGACAGGACCAGGTGCCGCCGGTCCACGGACAGCTGGCTCCCTGCAGGGGGACGCGCAGCATCAGCCCCAGGGACACGGGGGGTGGAGGCAACGCTCGGTGTGGGGGTCAAATGGAACTTTGAGGAAAGGAAAGGTCACAGAAACTGGTCTCGGCCCCGTTAGGGCCCCGGGTCAGGAAGTGGCTCCTTGACCAGCAGACACCGGTTCCACGGCTGTGTGATGTGACCCTGCAGAGCCGTGTGCAGCCAGGTCAGGGACAAACAGAGCACGCCCTCTGTCTCCACGGAAGGGTGGGGGACAGAGACAAGAGCTATGTGGGCAGGAGCGAGGAGGGCAGGGGACCGGAGATGCTCGGAGGCAAAGCACACCCCCGACAGGGTCCCAGCAGGTTCCTCTGGGGCTGAGCCGGGAGCAGGGGGCTCCAGAGAATCCCCAGAAAGGTACCCTCAGGGGGCAGAGATGGACACCGTGGAGGTCATTAGCTAGGTCTCATGGCCACCCCAGCCGGTGTCAGGACAGGCCCCCGCTGGCCCACAGTGCTGGTGGCAGTCCTCCCAACCCGGACCCTCTCGGGCAGGCTGCTGTCACCAGGAAGGGGCTGCGGCTCTTCAAGGCTCGGGGCCAGCCCTGCAGCAGCTGGAGACCGAGGGCTGGGCCGCGCCGAGAATTAGCGTGAGCAGCACTTAAACCCAGACGGGGAGACGGCGCCGCTCTGGGGGCTGAACCGAGAGCAAAAGGCTCTTAGAAATACACACTGCACGGCTGGCTGTTCAGAGTCCGTCTCACATGCTATGAAGTTCTTCCCGCCCCAGCGGGGTGGGTGTTAAAGGGAAGACGCAGGCTCCTGGGTGACGGTAGCGCGAGCACAAGGCCACACCCAGGTCCCTTCAGTGAGGACAGACCTCCTGCGTGTGCCGGTGGCCAGGGACCGGGCAGACACACCCCTGTCCGTCCCCAGCACCTGCCCGGTCAGGTGCCCCTGTCCCTCGGCCCCGCCCAGATGACGGGGGTTTGGGGCCAAAGGAGGACAGCGCTGGTGTCGGTGTTTGTGTCCCCAGGGAGGGAGAGGGTGACGGGGCTGGGGGCCAGGTGGGCGCCCTACCTCCTTTGGTCCACGCGATGACAGGCTGTGGGTAGCCCTTTGCCTCGCACTGGAAATCAACGGTCTGGCCCTCGATCACAGCTCTGTCCTGAGGGGTCACCGTGAACTGCGGGAGAGCTGCCGGGAGCAGACGCGGGAAGATGACGGCTTTGCTGAGGGCGGCGCTGGACCCCAGCGCGGCGGTGAGAGGACATGGCTGCACCTCCGCAGCCGCAGTCAGGACTCACAGGTGGTCACGCGTGTCACTGAGGAGGGACTGACTGTGCGTGGCCGAGGAAGTTAGCTGGTGATCATTTGGGGGAGGGGTCGGGGATCTGTCACGGAACAGTGTGTCCGGTGCGACTCCGTTTTTAAAGAAGGAACCGCAACGGCGCAGTGACCACAGGGAATGCTCGCAGCTGCCTGGGCAGAGAGCCTGCCCGGACGGGCTGACAAAGGCCACACGGTGGCCCCCGGGGAGGCGGGGAAGGTGGGTGAGGACAGGAGCAGGGAAGCACCAGGGTCTGTCTTTTTGGCTTTTCTGTATTGTCCTGTGCCTTCCAAAAAGGTCCCACTTTGCAATTTACTTAAAAACCAACAAACTCACGATAGAGCTGAGCAAGAAATCTGGGGAGCCAGACCACACGTCCCAACACCGGGCCTGCCGTGCCGACCTCCTACTAACACGGCCACGCCCGTGTGCATGCCCTGGGCTCACACGCGCCAGCGCTCCGGTGTGTGGGCAGCAGCTGGACAATGAAGCCCGGTCCTCCCGAAGCTTCCACCGTACGAACTGCCAGGCGTTGGGTAAGCGTGACAGGTAAACGCAAAGGGGTCTCAGGGACAAGGGGCCCCCGCCCTGCTGTGCGCTGGGCAGAGGGTGTGTCGGGCCCCGGGGGGAGGACCACGAGGGGCGGCAGGGTCCAGGGCCGACTCTCACCCTGGACGATGATGCGGGCCGTGGCGTGGATGCTGTCCAGGCCGTTGGAGGCGAAGCAGGTGTACTCCCCGCCGTCCTCTTGTGCCACGTTCTGGATGTACAGGCCGCCCGAGGGCGTGATGCTCACACGGGGGTCCACGGGCAGGGCCGTGCGGTCGCCCCTGGTCCAGGTGATGCGGGGCAGCGGGTGGCCCGTGGCGCTGCACTCCAGCGTCACGCTCTCCCCGACCAGCACCTCCGTGTTCTGCGGCTGGATCACGAAGGCCGGCCGCGCTGCCACGAGAAAACGCAGGCTCTGACCCGGGGCCCTCCGGCCTGGCCCCGCGTTTCTGCTCGAGTTTTTCTGTTTTCAGAAACCTATTGACCTCCGAACTAAGCGAAGCCAATTGAAGCGGCTGCTTTCCTGTCTTTGTTGCTTTTTAAAGACATGCACCAGAAAGTAAAATGGTCCCCTGCCTCAGGCCAGCGAGGGGTCGGCCACCGCGGTGACGGACGAGAGCCGCCCTCTCCTCCGATCGAGACGGGGGCAGGGAGCCCTCGCTCCAGGTCACGCTACACAGCCTCAGGCCGATCCCATGAGACCCTGCTGGCCGTTCCCACTGCTATGGAGCACTGGCTTTAAAGTACACTTAGCACAGATAACATAAGAAATTTCCGCCCCGTTGGGGTGGCTCAGTGGACTGAGCACCAGCCTGTGAACCAAAGGGTCTCCAGTTTGATTCCCAGTCAGGGCAGGTGCTGGGTCTCGGGGCAGGTCCCCAGCAGACGGTGTGTGGGAGGCAACCACACTGGTGTCCCTCCCTGTCTTTCTCCCTGCCTTCCCCTCTAACAATAAATAAAAATTTTGATAAAAGTGCAAAACAGGGTTTGATTTCCTTTTTTATCAACTCTGAATTTGGGAATTTTGAGAACCTAGGTTCTTCTGTACCTATCTAAATTAAGGGAAAAGAATCCCAACAAGGGGATTACAACTTATAGAACTTGAGAATAAAGCCTTTCAGTATTAAAAAAATAATAAATTTCGCCCACAAACTAAAACTACACTGAGATTATCTTCCAGCTCTAAATGCAGGAACAAGTACGCACACTCGTGAGTGTGTTTCACGAGTGAACTTGTGCAGAAACATCTCCCACTCATCGGCGTTGTGAGTGCCACGCCCACCGGGAGGCTGATGTGGCCGCAGACACCAGAACCCAGAACGCAGACACCCTCTGCCCAGAATCACCCTCCGGGACCTCACCCCGAGAATACTTTACGAGCAGGAAAAGTGACATTGGCACAGAAGGTGTCGCTGAACTGCTGTGTTATTTCTTTGGACCAACACCCTCGCCCATAATCCTGGGATCCAAAAACCTCCAAACACAAGCTGTTTTTTCACAGCTTGTTTTTAAAAGTTGAGGCTACTTCAGAGTCCTCATTTTCTGCTGTGAATGTTTGCACTGTTTGCTCCAGGACATCAACATGTTGATGTGCCCTGTGGCCTTTCTGAAAAAGTTCCCAAATTCTTTCGTGTGGCCCAAGGGGTTTTGGGTAAAGGGTCAAGGGTCTGTGATAGCAAAATATTTGGGGGAAAACCTAAATGTTCTCCCAGAAAGGAGCTCATCGACTAGATGGCGGCGCATCTGAATGACGGGGTCCGGTGTGGGTTTAGAGGGGAAGAGTAAGGAGGTCTCGTGTGCTGAGAGGAGAGGCCTCGGGTGACGGCCGCGCTGGTTTCTCGGGAGGGTAAAGGAGGAGGAGGAGGAGTCAGTGACCCAGGGCAGTGGGGGTGGGCGTGGGAATTAAGTGGGTGGGGGAAAGAGGAGAGAGACTGCTCTACACGTGTTCAGGTTTATGTCTCATTAGCCAAATACCTAAGTGACAGCACGTGACAGGAAGCACAGAGAGGACACTGGCGTTCCCAGAGAACAGGGCCAAGGTCACCGCCCTGTACCTTCATTGTCCTCCTGAGAAGTGCAGGCCAGACGGAGGGGACAGCCCACTGGGGACCCACACGGCCGGGTCCCCGGAGCGCTGCGCTCCGGCCTGGGGAGGGCCGGGGGAGGGGGTCAGCCCCCACCCCCCACGCAGGCAGCGGCACTGAGGAGAAGGGACCCCGCTGGGAGCTTTATTAACGCCAGCTGGTCCTCGCCTGGGTGGGCACCCCCGTTCACCCCACAGTAGGTGGCAAGTCAGTGACCCCAACACCAGGGGAGTGGCCGGAGGACAGCGGCGTTTCAGGGGTTAAGACTCCAGGAGGGGTGGTTTGCGCCTTGGAGACCAAAGTTAAGACAGTAGCGATGTACTGTGGTTTAGAAATGCGTCGCCTAACTTTTTCTAGAATAGCTACTGAAAGACAACTAAAAAAGTGTGATTTCTGGACCAGAACTGGGGAGGGAGATGAAAAACCACTATTCCAAAATAAGGCCAGAGACAGAAAAAGTTAGATTAGTGCAAAATAAGACGTGGGACGTGTAAATCTGAATACACTGGCACCCACGCCAAATACAGGTGGACTCACTGTAAGAAACATCCGCCTGAACTCTGGTGTTAGTCGAGCTCTACGCTACTTACAATCGACACCCGAAACTCGCGTGCACAGAGCGGCTCGGAGCGAAGCGTGGAGGGGGAGCCAGCTGCGCCTGCCAAGTTAACTTTAAGGCAAAATCAGTATCAGGTTGAAGCGCCCACGATCAAAGTTTAACCCAGAAGGAAGATAAAAAGGACAAACTTAATGCCCCTAATAACAGAGCTTCAAAATATACAAAGTGTATTTAGCCGCTTGCGACTCCTGTGGCTGGCAAGTCCGGCCGCCACTGTGGCCGCGCTGTCACCGCTGTGGGGGAGCCGGGCTGGCGGGCGTCCTGCAGGGGACGGAGCGCACCGCTCCGGGCTTCGCTGAGACGCAGCTCTGCTCGGCCGCAAAATCCAGCCACAGACAACTCGTAAAAGACTGTGGTTATGTTCCAATAAAACTTAATTTGTAGACACCGAAGTTTGAATTTCATATAATTACCACGTGTCCTAAAAAGTCTTGGGTTTCTCAGTCCTATAAAAGCGTAAAACCATTCTTAGTTCCCAGGTTTTAAGGAAAACAGGCAGGGGGCCAGCAGGTCTGGCCTGTAGGACGGCCGGCCCAGGTCCGGGGGACCGGTGGCCACACGCCCATTCCCTCCCTCCACGTGAGGTCGTCACGGGCTGTGGGAGGCCCTTCGTGCACGTGGCGGGCAGCCAGACCAACACGCTCAGCGTGGTCCCCTCAGTGAGGCTGCCCTTCCCGGTGGAGAGACAGCTGGGCCCCCCGTCTGGAAGTCAGGTGACCAGCCAGCCCAACCAGGCCTGTTCCCGATGTTCTGTTAGTCCTTTGCTCTGGGCAGGGTCCCCAGTGTCACCTCACCCCACTTGCTGTCTGTGGGCTCCTCTGGGTCCCAGAGGCGGTGGCCTGCAGGCAGGGCTGCTGGGCGCCTTGTCCCTGGGACACGAGGGAGGGGACCGACAAGGGCTGTGCTTCCACAGAAGCACGTCCCTCTGCCGTCCTTCCTGCTGAGACTGGACACCGGGAAACCGCACTGGTTAAGAACCTACTGTGTGTGCCGGGACGTGCCCTGCACCTCAAACACCACACCGGGTGCAGAGAGCTGAGAGTGTCCACAGAGAAACCGCAGGGACCACTTCTACAGCCACCTGAGCTTGGCCACAACACCAGGGGGGACCCAGGCCCCACAGGGGTTTGCGGAGGAGGCACGGGGTGGCGGCAACATGGGGCAGCCACGGGGGAGATGGCGTGCCAGCAGCCACGCCGGGCTTTCCCCCAGCCAGGCCTCTCTCCCCTGCCCCCCCACCATGCTCTCAGATCAAAGAGATGCCGGGAGCCGGTCTGCAGCCTGGCAGGGCCAGAACGGCTCCCGGCCACAGCTGTGCCTCGCTCAGCCGGGACAGTGTGTAAATCAGGCACAAACGTTTTGCATGTGGGGGTTTTACATCAAAGTCCACATTTTGGCTTTTTCCAATAACCAAACTCTTAGCACAGTGAAGGGCCCCCCGCCAAATGGGAACAACAGCACTTCCCCTTTGGACCAGCGGGACGCCGTGGCGGGGGTTGGGGGGGCTGGGAGGGGGAGGTGGAAGGGCGGGAGTGACCCTTCCCCAGGTGCCCTGTGGACGGCTGCTGGGCGGTCCACCCTGAGGGTCCGTCCCGGATTGGGGTCTGGCGGGGGCCAGCGCAAAGGTCATGACTCCCCAGGACCCTGCGTGTCAAAGGCCAGGAGGCCACCCTGCTCCGGGAGCTGCGCCGGCGGGGGCGGCGGGGAGAGGAGAACGCCACCCACCAGGGAGGACCCTCGTGTGCGTGCTCTCCACGCACCTGGAGACCCGAAGTACCGGAGGGTCACCTCTTGCGTCTTCACCTCCCCGGCGGCGTTCTTGGCCATGCACTGGTACACGCCCTGGTCCGTCTCCTGCGTGTTCCGGATCATCAGGGTCCCGTCGTCCAGCAGGTTCAGGCGGGAATCCGTCTCCATGCTCAGCTCGTTGCTGCAAGGACAGACACCGGGCGCTCGGTTTCCGAAAGCTCAGGGACGGCCAACGCCGCAGCGGCCAGCGCTGGGCCGAGCAGCGGTCTGTGCCCGAGGGGCCCGCCCGCCCGGGGAGCCGAGACTGAGTCGTTGGCTCCTGGGAAAAGTGCCGACGTCCACAGAGTCTAGCATCTGTTCATCTCTCAGGTGCAACCTAGAAGCGCTGAAAACTTCTCCTCGTTCGAAAGGAAAGAGAACCAAGTTTTAAAACTCTTCCTTTGTTTCTGTCCAGTTCTTCGAGGCAACAGCCAGGAACATTGTTACTAAAGCACAAGATTAGAGGAACCGACCCAGGAAGCCCTGCTGCCTGGGAGCCTCTCCCCGTGGCCACCACTCAGAGGCCCAGGGCGCCCCCCACAGGCACGGAGCCGACCAGCAGCCTGGCCCGCTGTCCCTTCCTCACACTCTTGTCCCCCTGCGGCCAGAGCCAAAGGGAGCTCCCCGCTGGCTCACAGCTCTGCCAGCTGTCGCCACGTCTCATTTACGGGAGACCGTCACTGCAGACCCGTAAATGAGACTCTGGCTGACACGCCTGGTCCCTCCCATCCACCCCGGAGCCAGCTGGCGAGGCCGGCTCTCAGGTGGGGTGGCGCGCAGGTGAGACAGGCCCTCTGGGGAGGCGCGCCCACGGGGAACGCCGGCTTGGGGGGGGGGCGGCCCGCACAGGTGGAGGGCACACGGGTGGGGGCAGGCCTGGCTCTGCGGTTTTGGCTTTCGGTGCCAGTGTGTTCGCTTACAAACGGAGGCAGGAAGGCTGAGCGCGACCCGCTCGTCTCCGCCTACCAACTCCGCACTTCCACGCAGCGGGGCGCTCCTGGGGCGCCCCTGTGATGCTCACCCGCAGTTTAAGTCTCGCCGACCTCCCCACCGCCAGCGCCCTGGCCGCCCGCTCAGCTGTGACTGCGGTCCCGGCCCAGAGCCCACGTCCCCGTGGCTGGAGTGCACCTCCCCGCTCTGCACCCGGCAACTCAAGAGGGTGGCTCGCTCCTCCTGTCTGTCTTCCCGGCAGACCCTGCGCGCTCAGCAGCCGCACTCCCGGGGGTCCAGCGGGGCCAGGAGACATGAGATTGGTGTCTGCGCCCCGTGTCCGCCCAGGCCTCCCTGCGGGTCACGGCTCCCCACCACCGGGGAGCTCGCGGCGCGGGCTCAGCTCCCAGTGTGCGGTGCCACAGCCCCCGTGCAAGGCATCATGGGAGGTGAGGATGACCAGGCCCATGAGGATTTCTGTCTGAGGACTTGGTTCCCACGACCCTCGTGGGCTCCGAGGGCCCTGAAGGCACTGGACCCGCTGCCCGGCCCAGGCCTCGGCTCCCTGCCCTGGTGCCTGCCGGGCACTGGAAGAGCTCCTGTCAGGGAGAAGCCGGACGCACACAGGGGCTCAGTGTCCATGTTCCCCTGAGGAGTCTCCCCGGGTCTCCATCCCAGCAGCCAGACCCCGGTCTAGTGAGGGCTGGTCCCCACGCTCCAGGGGCAAATCCCCCAGTGACCACACCCCCAGCCTGCGGCCAGGAAGAGTAGTTGGCAGAGAGCCAGGTCCCTCCCATTCCTGACCCCAGGCTGGGTGAGGGGCACCGGACCAGTGAAAACACCGGCCTGAAGAAAGTGTGGAGGAGCTGTCACCCTGCGTGGCCCAGGCTGGCTCACCCACGAGGGGCAGCCATGCCCCCCCACCCCCGCCGCCCCACTGCCGAGTCACAGCAGAGAAAGGGTCTGAGCAGGGTTGCAGTGTGGGGGCCAGACCCTGAGCTCCCTCCACCGGCAGCGGCCGGCCCGACACCCCACTTACTTGTTCCGCAGCCAGATGATCTCGGGTTTGGGGTTGCCCTCGGCTCTGCAGGTGAAGAACACGGTGTTCCCCGAGGTGACATCGGCGTCCTGGGGCTCGGACGTGATCCGGGGCCTTTCTGTACCAACAAGGAGCAGGGACCTCTGGGTCTCAGACACAGAGGAGACAAGGACCCCAGGCAGACCCTCCACGTTCAAGAACAACGCGACCGACTGTTCAACGTCATCCCTGCAAACTCTGGCTTGACTTGTGGACACACAGCAGGTCCGTGTGGGAACCCTGGGGTCTGGCTTCAGAAACAGACACCTTCAGGCCTCCCGGCTCCGAGCGCCTTGCTGACCTTCACGTGCAAAACCAGGCTGACAGGCGCCCCCACCCCCGCTGGACCAGCCTCCAGGTCCTTCTCGGAACGGATCCCTCCCTGGGCCTCAGCGTCTTGCCGCCCTCTCCCGGCACCACGATGGGGGGGGCTCTGGGACGGGAGCCCCGCCTTCTCAGCGGCCGGCACCCTAGCAAACCGGCCCCCCTCTCACCAGCCCATGTCTTGATTATTGGCTTCTGAGCAACCAGACCTGGATTCAGTATCTGCACCGGTTCTTAATTTTCACTGTTTGCCTTTATATGTAAAAGTGGTTGATAATGGTGTTGCGGAGGAAGAACTGAAAAAATTAGCTTTAGCTTCAAAAAAAGGGCTGAAGAGAAAAGGAGAGGCTGAGCCCCCGGGGACGCAGGAGGCAGGCTCGGCCCGGCCCCTGATTTGGTTTCGTGCCCTCCCTCGGTGGTCTGGGGAGGGGGTCGGGCCGGCACCGGGGCCTTCGGGTGGTGGACCTCAGCCCCCACCCAGGGCTCTGCCCAGCCCAGACCCCTGCACCCCCCGGGGCCCTTCACATGCAGCTGCCTGCCAGGGGGCTACTCAGGGGTGAAGGTGGAGATTCCTTTTTTGTGGGGAACCTCAACATACAGCCCAGGTTTACTAACAGATAGCTTTTTTGATCCTCGCCTGAGGGTATATTTATTGGTTTTGGAGAGAGAGGGAGAGAAAGAGATGGAGAGAAGCTTCGATCGGCCGCCCTGCATGTGCCCCCTGCAGCGATCGAACCCTAACCTTCTGGTGCATGGGAGGACACTCAGCCCACGGCCCCGGGCCAGGCAGCCAGCTTCTCAGACACGCCCAGGGCGGGGCTGCGCACCCGAGGCTCCACCAGGCCCCTGGCGACCTGGTCTGGGGTCGGCCGGTGACCGCGGGCAGCAGGGGCCACTCACCACAGTCCAGCTCCTCGGGGGTGATGGTGGCCACTGACCGGCCCTGCAGGCGGCGTGGGTGCTCGCAGGTGGCGGCGGCCTGCGCGTTCCCGGAGCGGGCGTAGGTCTGCAGCAGGTCCGCCAGCCAGAGGGTCTCGCAGTCACAGTGCAGTGCGTTCGAGTCCAGGCGCCTGGGAGGGGCGGGCCCACCAGGAGGGTCCGTGGCACTGCGGGTGCACGCCGCCCCACCTGACCCCTGGCGACCCCAGAACTCCCCAACTGCGGATGTGCCCCAGGGGGGGTTCGTTTCCGAAGCTGCCCTGTCCCCGACAGTTGCTGAGGGAGGTGCGTGTGAAGCGTGGCGACCCCCACAGCAGGGCGGCCCCTCTATCCCCCGGAAGACCCCTGGCTGAGCCACACAGCGCTCGTGAGAGGCTGCTGCAGCGGCTGGGACGCCACAGCCCTGAGGGCAGCCCCTCCTTACAGAACAGGCGTGGCCAGCCGGCGGGAGGGGCGTGAGGGGCAGCCTGCTCTGGCCCAGAGCTGAGCAGTGGGGAGCATGGTGGGGGGGTGGGGGCGCTGAGATCAGCACCCTTTAAGTTCACACTGCAGGCCCAGGGCCCCGGGGGAGACTGAGGCCTGGGACCCCTGCCGCCTGCCTTTCCCCAGGACCTGAGTGGTCATTTTTCTGATGACCACCCACAGTGGCATCTACGGGGCTTGGTGCAGAGAGGACATTTCTCCCAACCCTGTTCCCTGACCCCCGAGGGGAGGAGGCTGTGGCGAGCAGGGGCACGAACACCCCAGCACACGCCTGGCTCCGTCCAGCTGGCCAGCCCCTCTGAGTGAGTGACAGGACCTCTGCCTGCAGGGCAGAGCGGTGAGCCAGAGAGATCGGCGATGGGTCCCTCTCTGGGCAAAGGACATGGACGAGGGACGGAAGCCCGCCATGTGCGTGCCCCCCTCTGGTGTCCGGGGTGAGTGTGGGCTGTTCTCTGAGGCCTCCCCCTTCTCAGACGGGCAGACGGCAGAGAGGACAGTGTCGGGTGGGAGGACCGGCCTCAGTCTGAAGGGCCCCGCACGTCCAGGGCTCTGCCGACGCCCCGCCTGCCCGCGGCTGCCTGTCCCCTCCGGCCATTTCTTTGCCGCTCTCTTGTTCCCCTATTGAACGAGCCACATGCATCGAGTCCTCCCCTGGAGTGTGAGGCCTGGTTTGGTCCCTGTTTCTTTGTCCCGAGGAAAAACTACTGGGGCAGCAACGAGAGCCTGTGTCCTGCGCCTTCAGCCGGGGCCTGGGCCTCCTCGCCAGTCCGCCTGCTGGGGGAGGGGGGGACCTGCCCTCTCCCCGGGGTCCCGCCTCCTGAGCTGCAGCACTTACAGTCTTTTCATGGACTCCAAGTGATTGAACGTCCCTGGGACCAAGTGCGTGATGCGGTTGTTATGCAGAAACCTGGGGAAGGGACCACACGAGGACCAACTTGAACACACGCCTCAGACCACAGCCACCGAATGAATCTGCCCCCTAAACCAGGCACAGAGACGGCACCCACTCAACCCCGGTGAGACAAGGGGGAAGGGCCCCGGAGGGCGGAGGCGTTGGCCCGGCTCCGTCACTTTTCCCCGACAAAGAGGGAGTTGGAAGTCCTGCCTCTGACTCGCTGGACAAGGGGCACAGAGGTGGTGGCGGGACCACCGTCAGGGTTTTGACAGACGAGGGCCTCAGCCCCGACACCAGACCTGCGGGCTGCGGCCCTGCCCCGGCCGGGAAGGTCAAGGGCAGGAGTGGAATGAGACTCACAGCCTCTCCAGCTTCGGCAAATGACGGAAGGACTCCGGGTCCAGGGTCTCTATCTGGTTGAAGTGCAGGTACCTGGGAAAGTTAAAAACAGAAAGAGGGAAACAATGTAAGTGACTTTAATTGTTATATTTTACGGGTCTGGGTTTTCTGCTCAGAGTTTTTTTCTAAAGTCATTTCAAATTCACACACCAACAGGTACCTCTGGGGTCTCCACACTGCGAGGAAAACCACAAAGTGATGAGAGAGACAGTCTGGGTACAAGTGGCAGCTGGGCCCAGGCTCCGAACGACCGGGACACCAGGACACTGCGGCCCAGACCCCGGCAGGGCTCCCATCACGGGGTGGGGGAGGGGCCTGCTCAGAGACCCACTTCTAAACACCCGGGTCCTTCCAGGAGGAACGTCGCTCTGCCCGAATCAGAGCACCTCCATGGGTGCGTCCACCCCTCACAACGCACACGGGGACTCGGGGGAGGGCGTGGGGGGTCTTGTTAGTGTGACTCTGGGCAAGCGAGAGCCCTGGGCTGCAGGAGGTGCTTCAGAGCCGTGAAGGGTGGGCGCCTGGCCTCGGGGAGAGGAGCGCTTCCTCCACGCGCCCCCCGCAGACGGGAGTGTCCCGCGTGGGCCGTCCTTTGCATTTCAGGCGTCTCCTACTTTTCCTGAGTCCTGCTTTGCTTACTTTGAACACGGGTGGGTTTTTTCCCTTGAAGTAAAGCACCTCAGTCCCCTGTGGGGCACACCTGCCAAGAGCCCCTCCCGCCCACACGGCGGAGGCGTCTCGGCCTGCACCCCCCCACCGAGCACGAGTTCACGTGTCGGCTTCTTGGAGAGACGCAGGGGCACAAAGGGCGGTGACGGTCACCTGCAGGCCCAGGTCTTTGCTGGGAGCACACACCCAAAGCCTTCTCAGAACTCGCTCTCTGTCATCAGAGACGCAGACTTTCCCGACCTCTGTGACTCCGAGGTCCCCAAACACCAGCTGTCCGTGCCCTGTCCTGGCACCCAGGTCTCCCCCGGCCAGCTCACCAGGCTGCCTCACTGACAAGGGACCCCGAGTCTCTGAGAAGAGGTGTGAGGATGGACCACAGCCCGGGACCTGCAGACCTCAGGCCTCCAGGGCTTGGAGCGGGCCCTCCCCTCGCAGTGTCCGGGGAGCTGGAGTCAGTCGAGAATGTCCTAGAGCGGCCGAGCAGCCCCTGGGCCTGGGCCGCCGGGGTGCAGGCACCAGGCACCGACACGCGGACAGACACACAGATAGACATGTGACAGACACGCTCAGCGGTGATGCTCAGGGATCTGGGGTCAGCTGGGCAGGGAGGACGGGAGTCCCAGGGGAAGCCAGCTGAGGGGACGGAAGGGAAGGGTGCTCTAGTCCCGTACCCAAGGCTGGGCAGGAAGAGGGTGAATCAGTGGGACTCGGAGTCCTGCTCGGGACATGCCAAGAACCGTCACAGCCAGGTAGACCCGGTGGGCAGCGGGGGGCCAGCCATGCCGGCCCACAGTGGAGGGAACCGGGGACCAGTGACGGGGAGTGAGCCCTGATTCCCAACCATGCCAGGCACATGTACTGCCCGTGACCCCAGCCTCCTGGGCAGCCACCACGGCAGGGGCTGGGCAGCTCCCGGAGGCCTGGGGCTCACAGTGTCCGCACCCCCTGAATCCTGGTCCAGGGCCTCGGCCCTTCCAGTCTCCCTCACGATGGGGGTTGGGTTGGCGGAGACGTGCCCACCCGACCGCGGCCCCCCATGCACCGCAGGGGGACGCACCACCCGAACTCCGGGTGGGACACCCGTGTCCCCAGTTGGGGCCTCCCTGAGGGTGGGCTCCCGTCCCGAGTCTCCGCCCCTGAGACTCCGTGGTCCCGACCAGGCTGAAGTCCCCGCAGCACAGACCCCGGGCCCCGAACCCCGGTTTCGAGGGAGCCCGGCTCAGAGATGCCCCCACCTCCAGGCCGTCTGTCAGGAGACCCTGCTCAGGCCTCCTCCCTTAGACGCAGCCGCTCACCCCCACTCGGGGGACGGGCACCCCTCGTCCTTGACCGTCCTGCCCCACTGAGAGCCCGCTGGACGCCCCTTTGTGAACTCTCCCTCCACCTGGATGTTTTCCAGACATTTCCACGCTGCCATAGTGATCGGAACTCCGCTCCCTCCTCTGTGAGCCGTGCAACCTCCTGCAGACCGCGCTCCCGCGGAGCCCAGGCCGTGCAGGCCAGCTCGGCAGAGCGGCTCCCGCTCGAGTGGACACGTGCCTCTCGGGAAACACGGGCGCCCAGTGATCTGGGGCAGCCCGACCCAGCTCTGCCCTGAGCCACCCCTGGGCCCTGTTGGACACAGGCCAGCACCGCTGAGGCCGCAGGGCGGGGCGTGGCTGTGGCCCAGCTGCCTCCTGTCCCTGCCAGTAAAACTCCGACAGCTCAACGCTCTCGGAACGGCGCTGGCTCAGTGACCGAAAGCTGACCGGCCAAGCAAACCAACCAGAAAAAACTCCTTTCAACCAGGAACCCTGCTTAAAAATAACCACGCCGACTGCGGAGCAGGAATTCCCACGCAGCCAAACAAACACGCCCCACACGCCCGGAATGGAACGTCTGCCTCCTCCAACACGGTGACATCATGCGTGAAGAAGTGCGCTGGCGGAGGGCAGACTCCCAGACAGGAAGCGGGACTCGGACCACCGCCCGCTCGGCCCCCGGTCTCATCCCCGAGGGACCCGCACGCACTCCAGTTGGTTCGAGAGTCTGTGCCTCCCTCACACTGCGGCACCAGGGGGGCAGGGCCCGTCCGTCTTACTGTCCTGTGTCACCAACGCGGGGCCGGGGGCACAGGAGGAGAGGCTGGGAAAATCTACGACGGACGGAGGGGGAGGGACAGACAGTCACGGAGCCACGCCCGGTGTGCACGCACCCCCGACGCCCCCCTCGAACAGCATGCGTCATGCAAACAGCCAACAACAGTCCACGTCCCTGAGAGGGGCCTGAGAAGCACAGGACGCGTGCGGGCCACTTACAGTTGCTCTAGGGAGGAAAGTCCCTGAAAGGCTTGCCTGTCAATCGCCTGGATCTCATTCTTGTACAGATAGCTGAAACAAGAAATAGGGAGCGTTAGAGCAGGGCCCGGCGCCGGCTACCGGGCACGGGCAGACGGGAGGGGCAGCCTGTCCCTCTGTCTGAGCAGGGCTGGCGTCTGTAACCTGAACGGGGGGAGCCCTGGGGTCCTGGGAAGGCGGTGAATGCCGGACTCAGACTTCTGCCCTGGGGGCTTCACGGTGCTTACTAAGGTCGGGGGGTGGGAAGCGGAGTGAACCAGCCCCTCCTCATTCTGGCCTTCTCCTGGGGTCCCTCAGTGACTGGGCTCCCCCCACCTATTCCAGCTAAAGGACGACACTGTCCCCCGCGCCTGCCTGTGCTTCCCCAAGGACAAGTGTCTCCCTGCACTGTGACCGACACTGTCCCCTCCACCCCAGTGCTCCCACGCCCGTCCTGTGTGAACTTCCTGGGTGGGCCTCCCGGTGGGCCACAGGCCTGAATGCACACCAGCCAGACATCTCCGCCCGGTGACTGTCCCATTCCCGCCAGAGGCCTGGCCCAACCCAGGTCTGATACTGGCTGCGTGGTCTGCTGTGCGAGAGGGGCTGTCCTGGCTCAGTGTCCTCCTCGTGACGCGGGGAGCACAGCCGTTCAGTGAGCCCCCACACAGGTCAGAGCGCGGCTTGGTGCGGGGGGGGGGGGGCGCGAGGCCCTGCTCCAGAGCCGCACTCAGCAGGGCCCGAACGTCAAAAGCGAGGAAGGGCTCCTGGGAAAAGCGCTGGAAACAGCCGGACCGAACTGACCAGTGGACACGCGCGTCGGTAAAGACATTGGAACGTAATGCGTTTTCCAAGGAACCGAGTATTGATCGCCTTCTAGTAATAAACCCCAGACGGTGCCCCACTGTCTCAAGAGCCACTGGGAAACGTTAAGTAACCGGCTTCCAGGGGACGGGACGCTCAGCCGCTACAAATGTGCTCTGGCACCGACTGCAGCAGGCGAAGCCATCGGCACCTCGGCAGGCGTCTCGGGCACCGAACCTGGGCTGTCAAGCAGCCCGGACTGGGGCTTGGGCAGGGTCGAGGGGCCTGGGAGCGGCTGGATTGCGGGGCGTCCGGGCCCCGTCCGCCCGCCGCCCGCCCTGCCCAGCTGGTCCACGTCCATCCTTTCCCGAGCCCTGCCCTGCCCGTCATCGCCTTGCCCGGTGCACCCGCTGCAGGGCCTCCCCAGGACGTGAGGGTGGAAGACAGAGGGGCAGAGGGGGCTCGGGGAGCGGGTCAGCGGAGGGCTCGGGGAGGCCCTCTGCAGCGACGGGTGAAGCCCCCCAAACTCCTTATCACTACACGGATTTGCAGAGTAAAGAGTCCGTTGCTCTGAAGTAATTCAAACTGAAATGAATATAAAATGAAAACACTAAACACACACCATGAATCCGCTGGCCAAGAAGTCAAGCTTGCTTCTGTTCTTGCTCAGAAGTTACAATAAAAGAAACCCAGAAGCAAAGCAAATAAACAGAAACTAAAAAAAATAAACAGGAGGCCTGCCCCTCGAGCCGGCCTCGGGTGGAAGACACAGAATTAAAAATGAGCTCACTGTGCCAAAGGGAAATTGTCTCCACCTAACACTTTAAATGCCCTCATTGAGGAGGACGTGTTTTAATGAATGGACTTAGCGGCAGCCCTGCAGGCACAACCCGCTGACATCGAGATCACACTGATTCCAGTCGCACTGGCGACGTGACTGTGTTTAAAGATCTATTTAAAGACGCTCAGGTTCACACACATGACATAAATCTCTAAAAACGAAACAAACGGACACTGATGTGCATCCCTCACCAAAACGTCTCTGGTCAAAGCGATTCCAAGTCCCAAGGGCAGGAACTGTTGGCCCAGAGCACAGGACACTCGGTCCTGTCTGCCTCGCTCTGCACGGACCCTGCAGGGCGCCACCCCACCCCTTCTCTCAGGTGCAGTTTTAGGTAAGTGTCCCCGAGGCAGGAAGACAGAGCTTCTCTGTGAGGTCATCTCCCAAACTGCAAAACTCACTTCTATAAGCAGATGTTTCCAATGCTGATAATTAATCACACACAATCTACTTTCAAACGTAAAGGAAATTTTAAGCACAGAACACCAGGAAGAGGCGAAGTCACAGGGGTGGGCGGGGCCCACTGGAGCCACGAGGCCCTTCCCAGAGCCTGTGTGGTACAGACCCCGTCGCTGGCGCACCCGGCGACTGACCGCCCCCGCAGCCCCCGGCCCAGCAAGGGGCATCCTTGCGTCCGGAAGGGCTTCTTCCCTCATTGGTTTTTAACATTATGCAGCCTGTTGTGCTTTGGGCTTCGCAGGTGAAGGTGGGACAGCTCGTGCTAAAGCCCCCGCCCGCGTTTCATTTCTACGATCGTTCCTAACAGGACAAAAGCGACCTCAGTCGTCACGCAGTCCAGGCACCGACACCACGAGCTTTGGGGCAAAGAGCCGAGGATAAACTTACAGATATTTCAAGTTCTCCAAGTCCTCAAACGCTCCGCTGGGGATACTCCTGATCTGATTGTTGTTGAGCAGCCTGTGAAAGAAGGTTCCAGAATTAAAAGCACAGCCACTCACGGAACTGCTACGAGAGGACCTCCCTAAGGCCTTGGGGAACGTCATCAAGTGACCCAGTGACAGGCTGTAACATCAGCATTGGATACACGCTGAGTTAGCACAAAAAACGGCACTTTCGGTGCCTAACCTTCGTGACTCCACGTTCTCTCGGAAAACGAGGATCCGAGTCCCACCTGCCGCCCCAGACCACCGGCCTCCAGCACAGCCGTGTGTTGGCCCCCTCGCTCCCCCACACGCAGGTCTCCGTCCCACTGTCCCCGAGTGGACGTGCGGACTCACAGTGTATTCAGGTTTCTCAGCTTCCGGAACGCTCCAGGCTGGATCTCCCGGATCCTGTTAAAGCGAAGGTCCCTGCGGGGAAACGAGAAATGAAGTAAGAGGACGTCCTCGCCCACCTGCTTGTCCGCGGTGGATCGGTCTCAAAGGGCGCGTCCGTCCGAGGACCAGGACCACGAAGGTGGTCTGGGGAGAACCGCCTCCGGCCAAGGCCACCTAAGACGGGGGTCTTCACCGGAACCACAGAGCGATGCCACCCCGCCACGCGGACCTGGGGAAGCAGCTGTTCTGGGGGATGACGACCACACTAACTGCCCACCCCCCCCCCACGGTCCCCTGGAAAACCTCAAGTCCAAGCCATGCGGTGACAAACACGGGCTGCACCGCACGTGCTCAGGGGCAGCGTCAGCCACACGCCCGTGTTTCTCAGTGTGGATGTGCCACGCTGGGGGGGGGCAGTGAGGCTGCCTCTTCCCAACTGGGCGTTTGCGGGGGCGGGTTAGAGGGGCGCTGGCAGAGCAGATGGCGATCGTTTGGAGACAGAAGAGGAACCTGAACTGCACAGGCCGGCGCAGAGCTCGGGATGCGCGGGCGGAGGCTGAGCTGCCCGCTGGCCCCGCCCCCAGGCCGAGGGAGCCGGGCTCCGACCCTGGGCCTGCACACTCGGAACAAGGCCTGCCTCCTCCTCCAGCTTGAGTTAAAATGAAAAAATGTAACAGAAAGACCACTTTCTTTCTGAGTCTTAGAGAAATTAAAATTCCTTACTCCTGCTTCCCACTCCTTCCAACAGGGGTGGTTACAGGTTCCACTGTGTCCCCAAATTCTGACTGAGGCCCCAACCCCAGTGCTTCTGAACGTGACCTTATTTGGAAACACAGCCCTCACAGAGCCGGTCAAGTGGGAATGAGGTCAGCGGGTGGGCCCGGGTCCAGCAGAGACCTAGTGCTGAGAAGAGGGGGCATTTGGACACTCGCAGGGAGACGGCCGCAGGAGACAGGCTGTGTCTCCCACGAGCCAAGGAGGCCAAGAGCAGGCCAGGGGGGCTGCGGGAGACGGACCAGACTCTTCCTCCCAGCCTTGGAAGGGCCCGCCCTGCAGATGCCCGGGCCTCGGACTTCCGGCTTCCGGAGCCCGGACGGGCCGAGTGCATTTGTGCAGCCGCCGTCAGCGGTGGTGCTGGGGTGTTGCTCTTGTGATGTCTATGGGTTGTTTTCGTGTCCGTCATGTTTTCAGGGGCCTGGTTATTCTGAGCCGATTTAGTAATCGTGCATGACTTACAGACTCGGTTCCGGTTTATGATGCCACTGGAGGCTTCTCTGAAGTGTGTGTCTGAGTCACCCGCCCCCCCGCTGCTGTGTCTGACCCATCAGGCCACAGGAAAACGCGCCCCGACTCTCAGGGCGCATCCACCCGCCCGCCAGCATCCTCCCTGTCTGACTCGAGGGTTGCGCCCTTGCCCGGCGTGTCTGCGATAAACCCAGCAGCACACCGGCCCCACAATTCACACGGACGCTTCTACACCAGCGGGGATTTGATTTACGTCGCGCGGAGACCCCGACGGTGGTTCTATGTGGAGAGGTGCGGGCGGGCAGGCGCCCAGAGTGACTGACACTGGGTCGGTTACTCAGGAGGAAAGAAAAGCCGAGCCTTCAGCTCGTGCCCAGGTGCCCCCCGAGGGTGCAGCCGCCCTGGGGAGCACAGGGCCGGACCGGGGAGCCGGGGCCAGCGCCGGAGACGGCGTCGGCAGGCTGGCTACGCTCCAGCTCCTCGCGGAAGTGGACCGGACGTGTCTGATCGAGTGCCCTGCTTCCTGTGGCCACAAGACAAACCCAACATGTTTAGAGGAACCCCAGTCACATGGCGTGCTCTCCGGTCACCGGGAGACCAAACTGGAAATCCCAGAACTCGCTGCACCAGGCAGCTGGGTGAGTGAACCTCCCGGAAACCGGGGCGCCCAGGCCGGGGCAGCTCACAGCACGAAGCCCACACGTCAGAGAAGAGGCGATGTCTCAAATCAGTAACCAAAGGGCCCGTGAAAGGTAAAAACTCAGAAGAGCCTAAAACAATTGTGGAGAAGTGTGTCACCGTGGGGGTGTCACCGTGGGGGTGTCACCGCAGAGGTGGAGCCTGGGCGGTACTGCAGAGGACAGGCTGGGTCCCGGTCCTTTGCATGGGCCCCCTGCAGCCTGTGGCCTAGCCTGACACCTGGATGTTGGACTGCTGGCCTCCAGAATGAAGTAAATTTCTGCAGTTTTAAGCAAAAAAAAATCCCCAAAAGCCCAAACAAACAAAAGAAACCAGGGGCTGCAGAGGGACGACCGCGATCACCCACAGCTGCTGGACCAGGGACGCTCTGAGCACCGTTTCACCTCCCATGTGACACTGACCAAAGGAACTGCTTTTAATTAACGTCTCCCCCAAACCCGGCACTTACACGGCTGATTTCTTAAACATAAGTTAACTGGACTCAATGGTACTGAGTGGGTTTGAAACAAAGGGCCGTGGCCGAAGTCACGGAACTTCTATGCACAACAGCACATTTGTTCTTATTTCCGGATCCTCTCCGGCTCCGTCCTTCCACAAACCACGAGAGGCGTCACGAAAAGCACACGGAAGACAACAGGTGACAAAGTTCAAGGGGCTTGGCGGGGAAGAGGAAGATGCAGACAAGACCGAGGAGGGGTTCCGGAGCAGGGCCGTGGCGAGCGGTCAGGGCAGGGAAGACGTGACCGAACCCGGGCCCCTTAGCTCCAGACACATCCCCAGCCGAGCGACTGGAGGGCGAGGCTGTTCCCGACTGGAGACAGGGGGCTTCTCACCAGGACAGTGACCCCCAGGCACATGGACGGTGGCTCCGGGACCCTGTGGGCTGCTCCCGACACCCCGCCCCCCGTCCCCCGCCGACAGGACTGCAGCTCAGAGCTCAGCACAGGCGGCGACAGACCCTCCTGCGGACCCAGCTCACGCTCCTCCTCCAGGTCTTCCAGGACCCGGGACCCGGTCTGTGTTCAGGCTTTGCTAATCCTCAGGCGTGTGCCACCCACACGTGTGACAGTAGCACATGCCTTCGTACCCACGTTACCGTAACAAACACAGAAATGCAGGTCAGCAAAGGAAAAGCAGCGTCTCTCGGCGAGGGGCGGGCGGGGCTGGGTCGGGGGCCGGGCTGAGGCCCAGTGCAGGGAGGGGGTGTTTCTGGACAGGGGCAGGGACAGCACCTCCAGGTCACCGTCAGGTCACTGCCGACAGCCACTGGGTCCCTCACATCCCCGGGGCCCCAGAGGGCTTGGGGACACAGGAGACTGCCCTTCTGGACGGTCCCTTTTGCCCCAGGACACCGCTCTCCGCCGCAAGCTGTGATCACTTTTGCTTTCCAGTGTGGGGCCCTCAGGGTCCTGCCCCTCCGCACAGTGGCACGAGGTGGCCCAAGGCCACCAGGGGCACATGGCCTGGGTCCAGGCTCCTCCGACCTTCGGTCCGTTAGGGACCCGTCACGGGTCTGCTTCCTCCCCCAACTGCCGCCCAAACCAATGCGCTGGAAACGCTCCCGAGGGCCGCAGCATTTGACCAGTGACAGAGTGGTCACACGGGGGCAGACCCCCTCGGGTGACACCCAGGGGGACCAGGGACACGGGGCCCGTGCTTCCCACCGGGCTCAGGCAGCGTGCAGAGACGGGAGCGAGCAGGCGGCCTCTCTGACGAGCCTGTGGAGGAAGTGGCGACCGGACAGGGGCCTGGATGTGCCAGGGCGGGGTCAGGACGGAACCCGGGGCCCCTGCGAGCCCAGGGCAGAGAGGAGGCCACTCTGGGGCACGTGTGTCCTGTGAACCCGTCAGCAGGCACCACAGGCCCTGACCTACAGCCAAGCCCGTGCTCCGTGGAGCCCCGTCCCGAACTCAGGCGCCGCAGACCAGGGACCCTCACTGCCCCTCCCAGCACCACCCGGAGCCCGAGCACAGGCCCCCCTGTGGCGGGTGGGTCGGCCTGTCCCCGACGGCAGCAGGAGGCTCCTGGCCCTGCAGCCACCCGGTCTCCATGGCAACCACTGCCCCTGTCACTAGCTGAACCTCCACAGTCAGCACGGGGCCAGCGTGGGGTCAGCACGGGGTCGGTGGCGTGTTGGGCTCTCATGAAACTCAGCGCGTGACGCTGACCCGTGCAGCTCAAACACTCCTGCCATCGGGAGACACTGCCCGAGTCCGCCGCCACCTGGAATGCGAATGTCTAACTCGGAGCTCACGGGCTGGATGCTGCCGGGGCTGCCGCACCCGGCCCGGCGCCGTGTCTGCAGGAGGCTGTGGAGAGGGAGGCCTGCGGGAGCCGGGGGCGCCCAGCGGGCCCCCACGCCCTGGGGGGGTCAGCCTGTGTCCAGGCCCTGAGTCTCGGAGGCCCGTTTCCCAGGCCACGCGGCCCTCACTGGGGGCCGCCCTCCGCCTTCCGAAGACCAGTGTCGGCCCCCAGCCCGTGCACACGGCTCCCCTGGCAAGTCCAGAACCTCTCCCACGGCTGTTCAAACCCAACCGGCACGTTCCCTGCTTTCCTGGCGGACGAGAAAGCTGGCACACCGCCCACTGTCCCGGGGGGCCCGCCGCGCAGGGCCGATCGGGGGACGGGGGTGCGAGGGCCTGCTCTGGCCTCTGGGCGTGACGCACAGGAACCCGTTCTTCCCGCTAAGTGGGACTAAAAGATACAGAAAAACACACTAGAACACCTCACACTGGCCTCACACTTGAGCAGGTGAGAGCAGATTCCAGCCTCTGGAATCCGCATGGGCCACCAAGTCCCCACGACCCTGCCTCTTGGCCACGTTCCTGAGAGCCCCTGGGCCAGAGTGGCCGGAGGACACAGGAGCTCCAGCACCCCCCCCCCCCCCGCCCTACTGTGGCTGGCAGGCACGCAGTGACAGAGAGACTAGTGTGACTTTAACACGCCCTTTCCCGTAGAACACTGAAAACACTCCGAGTGCCTTCCCCGGACGACACGGTGGTGGGAGGTTTGCTCCCGCATCAGCACTAAGGGGGCGGCGGTCGGGGCGGGAGCCTGCGGGGTTGCCGTCCCCCACAGGACAGGCCCTC